TATATATATATATATAGTTACAAACTATATTAGCCAAATCGAAAATATTTATTTTGAAGAACTAAGTTTACTTGTTACGTGATATTGTCTCAGATGTTACGATTTATTAACATTAAAACAGGCGTCTAGAGCAAAAGTATCCATTTGACATCAATTAATGAGAACCATAAATACTAGCTTATAGTGTAACTGTGGTTGGTAACCAATTATTTTTATTTCTCTAATTTATATTGTTTGTTTTTCTGCTGTCCTACTTTATACTTTCCACCACCGGAACCATATGGCGGGTGGGTCACGGACCAGAGATGACCACGTGACTCGCCCAAACGAAAGTATCTTTGAAATATAGATCTACAGCCTCAGTTAAAGCCATGTTAGGCAGTTGGCCTCTGGTAAGTGCGAATGCTGTCACTAACTAATGTGATATGAATATTGTTCATAGTTTGCTTTATTATAAACTACTAAAATTGAATAAGTTAAAGAACCGTTCATAAGTAAAGTCTCCACTTCACGATTGAATAACGCGAAAATAACAAAAATAGACCTATAAAAGCTATGTAGACAAAATGTGCCCGTGGGTTGGCTAAATTTTTTGTTTAATGTTGTACCGCAGTGATTAGATTGAAGATTATCGTAATTTGCAAAATGTAATTCGAATTCGATAGAGGCTATTCTTTTAACACGGCAAAATATTCCTAATGATAAATTTTGTTTAATAAAGCCTTCAAATGATTTGGTTCATGTTAATCTAAAAACAAATCTACAGTTTTACTTAAGATAGTACTAACGATATGATTACTTTCAGCTACCTGCACAAAACATCTCTCACTTAATTGTTTACTATTCTCAAAGTCCAACAAACTTAGCTTGGTTTTTGTGTGAGTAACCTACTCACCGATCAATCGGCCGATTCGATAATATATCTATGGGTGAAAAAATTGAATGAACGAAGAAATTAATGATTTAGTTATTGAATGATGAATGAATGGAAAAGCCTAATTGAACGAATTATTTACTAATAATACTAAAACTATTTGCGGCTAGCTGATTAGTGTGTAAAAGCGAAAGCCAATTTAATTATCGAATAGTCCTCTGTATGCTAAGCCAATAAAACAATAATGGTCAATTCATCAGTATCATCAATATTAAGTACGGTAGTTTATTAGCTATCAATTAAAAATAAGAAAAAAAACTTTTACCTTGACAGTAATTCACATAGGACTATTCCTAATTGCAACCAATGACTTATAAGCCTAACCAAAATCAGAGTCTTAACTGTCTGTAATTTCAATTTTGTCTTATTGGAAGTGATGACTAACTTTGAAAATAATTTCGTTGCATAGTAGTTGTTAATTTTTTTATTTTTTCATGGAAATTACTAAACACAAACCCTCACTTTTCCGAAAATACGCTAGGTTTTTTAAAATGCACAGGAGCTACGTGTACGCTCAGCTAGTTTAAGTCCTGGTCCGTGAAGACTTGTTCCACCACCGAAACCATAAGGTGGTAGGGTCACGGACTAGCGGTGCCTCATCGCTCGACAACTCGACTCGCCCAAACCGTAAGTATCTTTAAAATATGGATCTACAGCCATGTTAGGCAGTTGGCCTTGCGTATTTACGTGCGAATGCAGGCACTAAATAATGTGAAGTGAATATTGTTTATAGTATGCTTTACTAAAAACTATTAACATTGAATAAATTAAAGAACCGTTCAAAAGAACAATCTGTGACTCCATTAGAGGCTATTCTTTTCACACGGCAAAATATTATTGATGATAATTAGTAAAGCCCTCAAACGATTTATTTCGTGTTAATCTAAGAACAAATCTACAACTTTACTTAAGATAGTATTAGCGATATGATTATTTTCAGCTACCGTACTTGCAATTCTCTCAATTGTTTATCATTCTCGAAGTTCAACAAACTTGGCTTGATTTGTTGTTAACCTTGACATTAATTTACATAGGAATATTTCGTGTTGCAACCAATGAATTATAGGCCTAATCAAAATCAGAATCTTAACTGTCTATAAATCGGCGAAGAGTATAATTTCAATTTTTGTCCTATTGCAATTGATGACGAACTTGAAAAATAATTTATTTGCACACTAGTTGCTATTTTTTAAATTTTCCCATGGAAATTATCCAAAACACAGACACACCCACACACACAAACACCCTCCACACACACACATGTATATATAATATATAATTTATATATCATATATATATATATAAAGAATCTTCCTTGAGATCCATATATATATATATATAT